TTGCTTTGGAATCTGTTCAAGGTCAGGTGCAGGTAGGTTGGCTGCCCCTGAGGCCGGAAGCCTGAATAGACAGCTTTAACGGACACGCCTTTGGCACATAAGTATTTCCTGGGCTCACCAGGCAATTGGATCATCACAGGTGACAGTGACTGTGGCGCTGGGCGTCTTCTTTCAGATACTGCGCTTGCATACTGATACAGGCCTGTCTCGAGCACTGGCCAGTCTGATGGACGAACAAATCTCTTCAGAGTGGGCATGTGAGATTTCAAGTCTGGCTGGCTTGTCATTCGGGCGAACCGCAAATGTGCCTCGGAGATGTCGAAAAGGTCTGTGCTGCAGTCCAGCAGAAGCGTGATCTGGGACAACTCCTCAAGGACCTCGACTTCACCGCCACTGCAACTACTGCTCTGACGCTCTGACACGGGGCTGTCAACACGCCTCAGAACTCTGCCAGGTGTCCTGTTGCGACAGCATTGAATGCTTGGATCTTCAGCCTTGAGCCTGGCATCTGCATCTTCAATCAGCGCCAGCAAGTGTCGCTCTGACGAATTCCCAAGGCTGGAAAAGCGATTCGGTAGCACAACGTGAAAAACATCAACAGGAATATGTCCGCCCACCCCCTTCAAAGTCACCCGCAAGCATCGAGGAGTGGCGGCCTTTTGTAGCTTCTGTCAGGAGATCCTCGAGTTTGGTGTAGCCAAGTTCTGATCTTTTGCCGGCAGCCTGAAGTTCCCTGGCTCCTAGGCGCGGATGCACTGATCCTCACCTGAAGCTGCGCAGGGCTTAGGACTTAAGGCTGCTCTCACGGCACAGCAATGCAAGTGCAAGCCTGGTGCCTCAGAAACCCCCATGGGGTGACGATACCTCAAAGCTGCGCGCCAAATGGAAACTCGTTTCACACAGAGGCAGGGGAGCTGATACTTCCAGCAAATGTGCCTGGTGAACATGCACTTCTCTCTCTAGTCATTGGCCAGGTGGATGTGAAACAAGTTCTGCAGAAGCTTGGCGCCATTGCGATCCAGAAATTCCATTTACGACCTTGCTTGGAACTGCAGAACAAGTGCTGTTAGAGGAAGGGCTGCGGGGGTGCATGGTAAGGGGCTCCTTTGCCAAAGTTGGCTCAAACACATACTTCCCCACATCACGCCGATGCAGGTTGACACTGCATTGCTTCACCTTTTGTGCTCCACTCTCAAGGCAAGTAGTGGGGTTATATAGGAGTTACATAGGGGTTATATAAGGACTATATAGGGGTTACATATGGATCATAGGGATTATATGGGGATTATGTGAATGAATAAGGACCCTGCAGAGGCCGTGGAGACTGGCTGGGCAGCGTCACAGCAACAACTTCCGGCAGCTTGCAAAAAAAAGTCTGCGCAAAGGCCGGACCAAGCTTGGCGCTAGTACCAGCATCGACAAGGTCCAGCATGGTTCACCACCTGCAGCACCAGGCTAGATTGTCTCGAACTCCAGCAAAAATACTATCTGAGGAAGGGACGCCAACAGCCAGAGTCTCGGAGGCCTGCTACAAAATCCCCATGGTGCAAGCTTGTGCAACACATCCATAGCGCCGTCTGCGGGAACAGCTCCGGCTTCGAGCTCGAGGTGTGGTTGCTCAACGAGGCTGGCAGAAACTCCCATATGGGGGTTTCCGAAAACTAGGGGTACCATATGGGGGTCCCCATAATAAGTATTATAGTATTTTGGGGTCTATATTGGGGTCGCCTTATTTAGGGAAACTACCATATTCTTCGGCTGTCAGTTTAGGAACATGGCCTTCCATGGAATCTGAGGCACTTTGGTCAACATCAAGAGCATGGGGCTCTGGAGCTGCACCGCAGGCCACGGATAGATGGGGCTTTATAGGGGATAATTGAAAAGACAATGGAAACCACAGTGATTATAGGGGATATATATATATATATGGATTATATAGGGGTGTTATAGGGGATCTTGGAAAAGAACATGGAAACGACTATCTCAAATTCACGGTTCCATGTTGATGCAGATGAGGAGAGTCAGATTCAATACTAGGCCTTGGCTTCCTTGACCGCCTTAAGCCTTTAAGCACTGACAAAATGCGTGGACAAGGAAGCATACAACAGTTTGAATTTCGCAGCTTGGTCACTTCTGGGGAACATCTTGGGATATCTTGGGCATGCGACATGTGGAACCCAGATAGCATGCGATTAGGGTGTACGAGGAACCCGGACAGAGCGCCGCAATCTTGCACAGAGTCCACTGACACCGTCATTTTTGGTTGGACAATTTCTGTCTTATGGCATTTTTGTATGTTTTTTGTGACGGCTCACAAAAAAAAAAAAAACTCTCGGCGGAAGCCTACTCCGGCTGCAAGCAACACCATGGATTCATGGGGGTTTCCCAAAATTAGGGGTGCCTTTTTGGGCGTCCATATAATAAGGACTATAGTATTTTGGGGTCTATATTGGGGTCCCCTTATTTGGGAAACTACCTCATGCAAATGGCACAGCTGAGATCCCGGCAAACTTTGTCAAGGCAGTGTTTACCATTTGCACGACCAGCATTGGACTCCTGAACGATATGAGCACCAATGGATCTTCCCAAGACTCTAAAGGATTTGGAACCCCAGTTTATAATTTCAGCTAAATATTAGGATTGTTGATAACAGAAATTAACAATTATTTTCAGGAACCTTGTAATTAGAAGAAACCTGGAGACAACCCGGGCAGCTCTAAGTCAGCTGCTACAATATCTGGATGTGCTAATGCATCTTATCGAACTCTGTTGGAGTTGATCCCTGAAATCGGGCGGCTAGCGTGCAAGACAACGATGGCACTACTGCTTTGTGCTGTGCCTTTGGACCAGGCGGGGTATGAAGATGCAAAGCTGAAGTCATGCATGTCACCCAGGACACAGGCATTGCAAAGCACGCTACACTTTTTAAAGCAACAACTCGGCCCTTGCTCTCAGGTCCTCCCCAATGCATCAGAAATAAAACGTGGCCTGCATCTGGTTGCAAGGGACCCTGCCACTGCATGCAGGCAACCAGCCTGCTCGACACTCTCGCCATCCGACCACTCAAACTTCTTCACCCAATAGTAGTTTCCATTTTCTTTTCCATTATCCCTATATACCCCCAATATTCTATAGTAGTTTCCATTTTCTTTTCCATTATCCCAATATATCCCCAATATTCTATAGTAGTTTCCATTTGATTTTCCATTATCCCAATATATCCCCAATAGCTCTGCGATTTCAGTTGGCACATGCCAAGATGACAGCGAGACAAATAAGGCCTGCGCAAGCTGGCCAATGAATTCAACCGTCAGGTAGCTTGCCACTCAATTAGTGGGAGTAGCACGCCAGGCTCACCAAACACCTGCAAAAGGACCATACTGGGCTTTCGGCGTTCTGTAGGCAGATGTACGGAGATGGGGACTATGGGGCATACTGCGCTGATTGCACATTGCACGCGCCCTGCAGATTTTGCGAAGGTTTTTCAGCAATTGCGGAGTTCTACGATGGTCCTAATTACACCTAAACCCTAAAGCCCTAAAGCCTAACCATAGGGTCTAGGGGTTCTACAAACAAACTGGTCCTTATGAGGGATTCCCTACAGTAAGCTTTACAGAAACCTGGCGGCTGTATATGTTCTATCGGGATTACGTACGGATCCAGAATCCAGATGGGATCGCACTGATTCTATGCATACAAGCGTCTGATGGGAACTGTGGGCACCACAAACGTTGCCAAATGCCAAAAGTACGGATGCAACGCAAGGACGCCGAGGATTATATGGGATCAAGTTGAGAGCAGGACTTCTGCCGGGATGATTCACAAACTATAACGGGCTTCTACAAGAGTCAACGGCTCCAATAATCGGCATCGAGAAGGACCATGTCAGTATAACACATCTGGATTTCACAAAGTTGCTACAAGTATCAGGATCACCCACCCTAAACCCTAAACCCGAGCCTCCTTCAGTAGTTGCATGACAATTGAAAGCCTTGCTGCTGGGACGACGCAAACATCATCTCGGGCCTAATGCCTTGCTCTCTAAAGAACGAGGAGTTACTTAGGGTTTTGGGTTTAGGATTCAGGGTTTAGGGTTTAGGATTTAGGGTTTAGGGTTTTGGTTTTAGGGTTTAGGATTTACGGTTTAGGATTTAGGGTTTAGGGTTTAGGATTTAGGACTTAGGGTTTAGGATTTAAGGTTTAGGATTTAGGATTTAGGGTTTAGGATTCAGGGTTTAGGAGTTATGTGTCACAATCGGGAAACGGGTTACCCATAGAGCTCAACCTCCGAAAGCCGCTTCGACCATCCCTATATAAGGATGATATTGGGGTTATATAGGGATTGCATTGGGGTCATATAGGGGTTATTCGGGGTTTAGAGAGGGTTTAGGGTTTAGGGTGATATGGAGGTTTCCCAAAATTAGGGATGCCTTTTTGGAGGGTCTCTATAATAAGGATTATACTATTTGGGATCATATTGGGGTCCACCCATTTAGGCAAATTACCATCTGGATGATTCTGCCCTATTGGCACAAAGCAGCCATCATTGAAACCCATGAAGCCTGCAGTTTATTCTGTATGAAAATACTATACCCAAAAGGAGGAGATAATCTCACACTATGTTTGATACAATAATATCCCCAAATAAAATACTACGCCAGTGATGCTGATGATGCTGGCCAGGGGGTGCTCATAACCCATTGCCCCATTCCCTGCGAAGCGGCAAGGATCTCTGCCATGCTGATGGGATGTTTCTTGTCACTATGCTTGGCTTACTGGCATGTCGGGGTGAAACTTGATGGCCACGCCACAAGCTAGGATTGCTCTCCACTTTAGCAATGCGCTGTGCAGGCTTCTGCGCACATCATCGTGCATTTTGCACGAAGGAGAGCTAATAGTTACAGTCGACGTGGTGGCTTAAAAAATGCTGACATTGGTGTTGTAAAGACTGTGGCACACTAAAGAGCCCGCAATCATTTGCTGGAATGCGGCTCCCGAACTCAAAGCGCAACTGTCGAGATGGAGCGGAGCTCATTTACACTGCCTTTGCTGACTTGCCTGCCTGGCATGCTTCGGGCCAAGGGGCCAGTCAAACCACTGGGTCCACTACTCCCAGACTGCTTTCTGGACCTCTTGGTGGCCGCCTTCCCTCGCAGATAGTTAGCCGGGATATCCAGGAAGAGGCTGCCAACCCAAGTAGACAATGCCACATCATGCTCGAATCGGACGCAGCGAACCCTGCCCCAGGCAAGCTTAAAGTCCAGGTCAGCTACGGGCTTGTTCTGCAAGTTCTGGAAATCGCAGTCGTTGACAACGTGTTGAAGCTGCGCTAGCTCCTTGTAGGTCAGGAACTGGTGAAGCATGACAACCGATGACCCCTCTCGTGGTTCCCCCGGCGTATCCTGGGTTGCAGTGCAGGAACTTCATCCATGTTCTTGCAGTGGGAAAACCATATCTGCTACCATGTGTACCATATTATGGTAGCTTTAACCCTAAACCCTACTTACCCTACATGCTCTATATACCCATGTTACGGTAACTTAATTTAACTTCCTTGACCGCAACCCAATATACACCCATATAATGGTAACTTAAATTAAATTCCTCAACGGCAACCCAATATCCGCAACATCGGAATCCACGTAGAGCACTTCGAAGCTGAGGGCGTCAAAAAGCAGCACCGGCCTTGCTGCTGGGAACTTGGACATCTCCACATCCTGGGTTGCTGTTAAGGGTTTAGGGTTTAGGGTTAAGGTACTTAAGTTAGGGTATGTAGGGTACGTAGGGCATGTAGCGTATATAGTGTTTAGGGTTCAGGGTTTAATTTGCCATGATATAGGTACATTGAGTATATACGGCATATAGGGTTCAGGGCTTAAGTTACCATAATATGGAAAATATCATTTTTCATATGGTTTCCTTAACAGCAACCCAGCATCATCCGCCAAGGGGGCCACAGGCGCGAAGTCCGGAAACTCTCGCACACCGACCAGCCGCCGAGCGCGTCCCTCCGCGTCCTGGAAGCGGATGTGCAGCAGCTCGACCTCCAATTTACCACCTAGATCATCCCTATAGAACCCCAATATACTATAGTAGTTTCCATTCTATTTTCCATTATCCCCATAGAACCCCAATATGCTATAGTAGTTTCCATTTTATTTTCCGTTATCCCCATAGAACCCCCATATACCATAGTAGTTTCCATATTCCTATATTTCACCTCCAAAGCATTTGTCAGGGAGTCCAACATAGTCGCATGCAGCGCTTGTGGAACGGAGTTGCCGTCATCTAGGCGCAGCTGTGTGGCAATATGTTCACGGTCTGCTGGGCTAAAGTAGCCGATGAAGTCCCTGCTGTTGTCCTGGCTGGCTGACATTCCCTTCCCATGCAGCAGCATGGTCGCCAGCTTGCTCGTGTCCCCGCAAAGGGTCAAGGAGTCGTCGAGCTCGACCACTACGTCACAGAAACCTCGGAGTAGCCTTGAGACTGAATACAACGAAGTGGTGCTGCTCTTCAGCTCCAGAGCAATGCAGGTATTTGTCCAAATCTGCTCTCTCATCACGTACGCAAGAAGCACGACTGCAACATGGGCTACAACTTCCATGCCTGGTTCATCTGTGACAGCGCCGAAATTGATGCGATAGAAGACCACCAACCAATGAAGGCAGGTCAAAATGCAGGACAACCAGAAGTGCTTGGCTGTCAGGCAGCAAACCATTCGGAGGGTCAGGCTTCGGGTTGCAATCACACTAGTGAAGCGAGGATCTGAATTCAGCACCGTAGGTGCGAGGCCAATCATGAACACGAGGGTTGTCCAAGCATCCAGGCTGCGAGGCGTGATCAGCTTACAGCCAAAGACTGACCAAAGCAAGATAAATAGATAAAGTACTAAATCCGACAGATCCAAGACAGCAGGAGTTGGGTGGGGAATGGACATGAAATATCGATATTGAATGAGGCCGAACCGGAACACGTAGAACGGCAGAAACCAGCGGCTCGCTCGGACGAGCAGCCTGCATAAGGCTTCCTGGAAGTCTTTGTCTGCACGTCCCTGTTGTCGTGAGCAAGTGAACTTTCCAAGCCGCTCCTTCCAAAGTCCGCGCAAGAAACCCCTCACAGACTCTTCCCGTTGGCGGAGACGTCGGCAACTGACTGTGACAAGAGCCGCCAGCGCTAAGACCCCCAAAAAGGATGAGCAAAGGACCATGATCGCAAGCAACTCCATGGCGAGACTGCAATGCTCTGGAGAGCAGCGAGCTGATGAAGCTGGTTTGCGGTTAGGGAACTTAAGATACTATAATCAGGAAGCCTCATTATCTGCTACGTACCCATACTATGGCAACTTAATTGAAATTCTCTGACAGCAACCCAAGAAAGTGAGGATTTGGGGGTTTTGTAGCTATTTGAAGCCTTAGGGACCGAAGTCGGCGCCAGGAACGCGGTTTAGGGTGGGCTCCATGCTGTCATGCCTCAGCAAACACTTTAGCCAACTCAACGGGCGAATTGCATCCAAGTAAAAGGTTCCAACAGGCAGCTTCAGTTTCTCTAGCCCAAAACCTGATGTCAACAGTTAAGGAACTTACACATTGAGTTGAGTTGCTATAAAAAGAAAACCGTATCACTGTAGTTGCTATATACCCATACTAAGGTAATGTATGTTTGAGGTCCTGAACAGCTACCCAGTTCCTCTGAATGGCTGATGATCGCAGAAAACTATGCGCCTGGATCATGATTCCGCGTCCCATCCATTTCTATAGCCGCCGGCATGAGCTCGGACTTGGGACCTCCATGAAGAAAAGAAAATCTGTAGCCTCTAGGCGGAGCTCAGCAACAGACATGTCGCCACTCCCAGCTCGTGATCTCATACACTCACAGTCGCGCTGCACACACAAAGCACACCTTCAAGATCTCGGGCTCCGAGCCACAGCACATACACCTGAGTCCAGGCAACCGGGGGGGTAGAGGTCAATCCTACAAGATTTTCTTTCCATAAAAACCAACCAGAGCTCAACCAGCCTTCTGCACTCAACTACAAGCAGACGCAGTTTGCCCAGCTGTCAAAACCAACAGACGGCCGTATTTCCTGCAGGCCCGGGAAAGCATCGGCTTTGAGAAAAAGAACAAATTGTCTTGTGCATGGACCTCTATGTATAATGTGAGTACTCCTTCTCTGGTAATTGAAGGTTAAACTTTATGCATCAGTGCATCTAAAATTTTTCAAAAAAAACAGCGTTGGCAGATGCTGAGTTGACTCTATACAACGAAGAGAGCTCACGCAGATGACCCAGTAGGAAATGGAGTTTCCATGGAGAAGACCCCTACAAGGAATCTTGTAGGAATGTGAGGAAATCGATTTAGAATGTAACAAATATATGAGTGAGAACTCCATTTACAATATTGGGAGGCATGACAGGACCGTCTTTTGAGTCTGGTGGAAATGAAGTCACGTCCATCAAAAATCTCATAAGAATATGAGGACACACATCTTTCAATCTAATAAATATCAATAAAAACTTTTTCTACAGCATTGAGAAACATGACAGGACTGATTTTTGGAATCTTATATACATGAAAGGATCCATTGATCCATGACAAGTCGAAAGAGAGTATTGTTCCCGCAAGACCCGAGAGGATTTCTACTAGTAATCCAACTTGAGTCAGTGACGAAGATGTGTTCTATTCAGAATCTAATGTGCGTGATATGACTCTTGAAAAACTCGTGATGGAATGAGACAACACGCAGCATGAGTTTTATAGGAATCAGAGAACCCTTGTTAAGAACAGCTGCCAGAATGCAAGTGGGAGGCCTGGGACCTCCACTGGCTGCTCTTTATGGGCGCTTGACCTTCTCCTGGGCCTTCTTGGCCTGGCGCTTGCGCGCCCTGCGCCTTTCGCTCTCTCTGGGCCGGGCCTACTTGGCCTCCTCAGCCTTCCGCTCTCTCGCGGCCTCCCTGGCCCCCTCACGCTTACGCATCTCCTCCTCTTCAGCTTTCTTTGCTTCCTCGCGCTTGCGCGTTTCCTCGGCCTTACGCTCTTCAGCTTTCTTTGCTTCCTCACGCTTACGCACCTCTCGCTCTTCCTCAGCTTTCTTTGCTTCCTCGCGCTCGCGCGCCTCATCGGCCTTTCGCTCTCTCTGGGCCTTCTTGGCCTCCTCGCGCTTGCGCGTCTCCTCGGCCTTACGCTCTGCAGCTTTCTTGGCCTCTGCGAATTTCCACGCCTCGGCCTTGCCTTGCGCTCTTCCTCAGCTTTCTTTGCGTGCTCGCGCTTGCGCGCCTCCTCGGCCTTTTGCTTTTTCTGGACCCTTTGGCCTCATTTCGCTCGCGGGCCTTCTCAGCTTGTTGCTCTTTCTCGGCATTCTTGGCCTCCACGCGCCTTCATGCCTCCTAGGCCTTTTGCGTTGCTTCAGCCTTCTCAGCCTCTGCACGCTTGCGTGCTTCGTGTGCCTTTTGCTCTGCTTCAGCCTTCTGAGCCTCCGAACGCTTGCGAGTTTCCTCGGCCTCTTGCTCCTTTTTGGCCTTCTCATGCTCCGCATGCGTGCGTGCTTCATCGGGTCGTTGCTCTTCTTCAGCCTTCTCAGCCTCCGCACACTTGCGTGCTTCCTCGGCCTTTTGCTCTTATTCAGCCCTCTCAGAATCCGGCTGTTTGCGCACCGAACGGAAGCCCACCTCCACCTCCTGTGCAAGTGCGCTTACCTTTGCCCGGTGCCTTTCCCTTGTCTTGGCCTAGCCATGCCCAACTGAACATGCAACGATGCAACAGTCCACGCCGGTCCTCGAGGCTTTACCACAATGACAGCTTTGCTGAGCTGCAAAGTTCCTGAGCAATGCAATGTGGTCCATGTCGATGCTTCGAAGCGTCTGCAAGATGCCCTGGCGGAAAATGCCCTGGCATTTTGAGAGCTTGTCCTACTGTGGCTGTCAGCATGCGAAGTCAGCTCATTCCCTTTGCCCGGGAGAATTTAGTGAACATGAGAGGGTTCCTAGTAAGAATCTAATAAGAAGAAAAGACTTCCTATACTAGAGTTTAAATCAAAGTGAGAGGAATTTTATTAAGAATCCATTAGGAAAGAGAAAACACCTGCTACGAATCGAATTTATGTGAGAGGACTTCGATTAATCATCCATTGGGAAGGAGAGTACCTGTATGAAGTCATTAATGGGCCTTTGCTGCACATTCATTAAGATCAAGTGAAAGGAGGAATTTGATAGGAATTAGAAGAAACATTGGGAATCTGATATGTGTGAAAGGACTCCCATTAAGAAGCTGCCGAGAATCAGAGGCGTCCTATTCAGAATTCATTATGAACGAAAGAAAGGAACCTCATTCAGAGTGTCCTGCTGAAGAATCGAACAGGAATGAGAAATGCCCTACTGAGAATTTAATACATTGAAAGGGTTGCTACCTGGAATCTGATAAAAATGCTGGGACTTCTATGACGCATTTGTTAGGTCCGGGAATGAGAGGATTTGCTTTCAGATTCAAATAGGAATGGGAGTGCTCCTAGCAAGCATCTAAGTAATGGACATGAGAAGATTCTCATCCAGAAGATACTTTTTGCTTTCAGATTCAAATAGGAATGGGAGTGCTCCTAGCAAGCATCTAAGTAATGGACATGAGAAGATTCTCATTCAGAAGATACTGAAAGCGGAGATTTCTTGCCAGGAATCTAGCAGGAATGAGACTCTGCTGTTAAGAACATAGCATGAATGAGACGAGTCCTTTTGAGAATCTGATACAATGAAGGACCCTATTTAGAATCTACGTAAAAGAGATGTCTCCTACCCAGCATCCGTCAGGAGTGAAGGAATTCATCTTCAGAATGTAGTAGGAATGAGAGAAAGGAAGGAGAGAACTCCCAATGAGAATCTAATAACAATAAAGGGACTCCTGCGTGGAATTTAGTAGGAATGACAGAACTCCTACAAAAAAATCAGATAGGAACGAGAGGATTCTGATGGAAATGAGAAGACGAAATTTCTACAATTTGAAATTTAAAGACTTTGAGTATTCGAAAGTTGTTTAGAACTTCTATGGTTTGGCAAGTTCTTAATTTTTAGTGATGTTCCAAAATGCAAAATTTTAGAAAGGAGCCAATTCCAGGAAAAATGGAGATTGTGCCCAGACGGTCCTTTATAAATTTGAAGTGTTCAAACTTCGAAATTTGAATAGGACCGTCTGGGCACAATTTCCATGTTTCCCAGAATTGGCTCTTCTCTAAACTGTTAAAACAAAACAAACTGAAAAATTTCCAACAGCTTAAAATTGTTTTGGCAATTCTTCAGATCTTAAAGCTGTTTACGAAAGTTGAAGAATCCAAAAGGACCGTTTGGCCACAATGTCCATTTTTCAGAAAATTGGCTCCTTTTTGACTTTTGAGATATGGATATATATATATATTCATGCAACAAAAAGACAACTGAAATAACGCATAGAGGTCCTATGCCCATAGGGGACATAGGGGTTATACGGATTTATAGTATTTATAGGGTGTAGGGCATTGGATCACGTCGTGGCGCCGGCTGAAATGTCCCTTTCCCAGATGCCTGCCCCCACGCTCTCCTGCAAGTTGGCCTGCGATCGCCATTTACCAGCCACACGGTTTAAGGGTTTAGGGCTACCTCTGCGATCACCATATACCAACACACCAACACGCCTAGGGGAAAATGATGGGGGTATATTATCGGGACATATTATGGGGGTATACAGGGTTATATACAGGTATATAGGGACCTAACAACTCAAAGGCCAGCCCCCTGCAAAGTCCTGCGAGCTGCACCGCCAAATGCGAACGTAGGGTTTCGGGTGTTCAATAGCCCTGCCATTTCGCACTATGAATGCAAGCAGGCACGCCTGGCACAAGGGCAGATGCCTCCTGCAGGTATCTTCCCTGCTGCAAGCAGAAGTACCACAGGCCCAGAGATCCTAGTCCGAGGTTTGGGTTGTATATGAACTCTTGAGAGCTTGAATGCTGTCTATTGAGCTCAACCATCCATTGAATCATTGGGGGACCGTAAGCTCTTGAATAATTTGCCTGTCTTGGTGAGGCAGAAACATGTGAGGAATAAGCTGCTGCAGCTAGACGGCTCCCTGGGTTCTTCAAGCTATTGCGACCGAAACATACTTTGGGGGTTATATCAGGGTATTTTTGGGTTATAATGGGGATAATGGCAAAGAAAATGGAAACTACCATAATGGGTTATAAGGGGATTATAGTTCAAGCCTGGTTTGGGGAGACCATGACATGCTACTGGACAACTTGAGTCGAAAGAAGTGACTGTCAGTTCAGCCGAGCAAGACCTGCAGTGTGCAGCCATGGAAAGACAAAAGCATGCAGCAACTCTGCAGAGGCAAGATGGCTAGACGGAGCACGTGGTCCCGATGGCGCGACTTCGTCCCACCCAGCATCCCTTGCGACTTCAACTGCAGGCATGCTGTAATGGTTATCAATGCCGGCTCCCCGGCCAAAAGGATGCTAACAAAGCAGCAGGCGATGCAGAACGCATGGCGCAATCCGCTTTTGGGATCCACAGTCATGCTAACAATTCGCATGGCGTCACCCCTCTTAGTCTGTTTGACGCATTGACATTGAACGGTCAGGACACCGGATACTGGCACATAAACCGTCGCTGAGACGCAACTCCTCTTCAAGACTGCTACAGCTCTTTCAAAGCGGATGCAAGCTACTCCAGCACCCCGGAAGTTTAGATGTTGTCTTCAAATATTGGCCTGGAATGGTCTGGACACCATAGGTGAAAACAAAAAAGCTAGCACTTGGAAACATCTTTGACCATAATGTGGGGCTGGGGGCTTCCGAGCGACACCTAGATGATTCTCATACAAAGACTTGATAAGATATGGGGTCTGCACGTCACTGAAGGTTGCCGTATCAGGGATCCTCTGCGTCATGAATTTGCCTTACATACTTGCTACGCATATGGAATTGCTCAGTCTGCTTCTCAACGTTCCGGCAATATTGCATGTCGCGAGTCGCTAGTGCCTATAGTCGGTCAGGTCAGGCTACAGGCTTGCTGGCCAGCGATGGGTCCAAGCACGGGCGCTTTGCATCTGCACCCCACTTTTGCAACGGCTTCATACCAAAGTCCCTCAGGTAGATCGCTGAGGTTCTGCACCCCTAGATTTTTCAGGCTCTCGGCAAAGTGTTACACATCGGCATCTTGCAACACAGCATGTGCCGTGCTGGCGGAAGGGCACTACTTTTTGATCCAAATCTGACAGCGGTGGCAGCTGCTGACCTCCCTATGTAGACAGAAAAGCACGGTTCGTCCTGCACCTCCATGACGTAGCCGAAGTATACCAAAGTGAAGTGGCCCGCGCTCATGCGCTACATTATATTGCAGTTCAATACAATTTCGGACCATTTTTCCGGCAGCTCCAAATCCCAAAAGCCTTTTGCGTCACCCAGCCTAGAGCAGGCTTCGCTCTTTCCTGGGAGTCAGCTTGGCAACAAAGAATTTTCAAGAGAGTGCCGAAGGCGGGGGGCAGGCAGAACAAAACCGAAGCTTCTCTCATCATCTCATCATGTCGTTGTCCTAGCGGTCCAGGCGTGCTTCTGCATCATTCTGCCTGCTGCTCGTGGCAAATTGTGGGCTCTTCGGAGCTTTCCGGATTGCCCGCCAAGTTTTCTGGGGTCGTCGGCCCCGAACAAAACAGCTTTAGAAACTTCAGAAACTATCAGCGCCTGAGCGACTTTAGCAGCCTCCGCGGTACGGCCGCAAACCAGCTTCTTCGCGCAGCTGCTGAAACTAGCCCACGAGTGGGAGCTAAGCATGCCGAATTCACTTATACAAGTTGGACTGTGGTCTAGGACCACGCTTCCACGGTGTATCGACCCTCCATCTTCAGATTTGAGAGGATCGCTTCAGCATCCTCCTCGCCCACGCGCTCGCTGGCCATCATCACCTCCTTCATTGCCGTGTAGATGTCCTTTCACAAAATGCAACAGCCAACATCATGCAACAGCCGGTCAGAACCCACCTATCCCCCTGCCCATTCCTGGCCCAGAAAGGTCCTCCGGCACCTGGCGAGCGCTACCGCAGACATAGAAGTGGCCGTTCTGGCGCAGCATGTACTCTGCCACCTTCTCGCCGGCCTCCATGATACGGTGCTGCACCTTAGNNGCCCAGGATTTCTTGGTGCCTCCGAGATACATAGATCTTCCGAGCCTGCTCGCGTGAGAAGGCAGTGTGCATGGAGAGGACGCCCTCCTTGACATAGCTCTCGAACTCATCCTTGTAGAGATACTCGACGGCATACCGCGCGCCGAAGAAGAGCATGCAAGGGCCCACTTTCTGTCCTTGCCTGTGCTGGCAGACGCGCTCCTGCGTGACTGCTCGCCACGGCGCCAGGCCTGTCCCCATGCCGGCCATCAACACCGGGCTGCAAGGATCCTTTGGCAGCACGATCGCGCTTTGCCGCACGGCGCACATGATCGCGGCGCCAGGGCTCTGGCCTCGTAGGTATCCAGTGCACTCACCGATGCGGAGTTCCTGCGTGCTCTCCACCTTCCAGTCCACCAGAACCACGCACAGCTGGATCTTGTCCGGGTGCATCAATGGGGAGCTGGCAATAGAGTAGCTTCTGGGCTTCAGAACTGGGATCATGTTCAGCAGCTGCTCAATGGGCGGCCGTGCGCTCTTGAACTTCCTGAAGACATCGGCATGATGAGCGAAGTCATGCGTGAGGTCGCGGTACAGTGCTTGACCCTCCGCGCTGTTCTCCACGACGCTGCGCAACTGGCTCCGTTCCTTCTCATCTGTCGCAAAGAGAGACAAGGTCTCGAAGAACTTGCGGTTGGGCTTGCCGAAGATGTCCAAGACGTGCGAGAAGAGCTGGCGGACGTTGAGGTCCATGGGACACCAGTTCCGGGCACCTTCAAGCGGCAGCACGCGCAGCTGTTGGCCAGCATCCAGGCCCATGTCGGCGCAGAACTCCAGGACCTTGTCGACGGGATTCCGAGGCCATATAGCCAGGCTCTCGCCCGTCTTGTACGAAACGGAGGTGCCCTCGATCTTGAACTCGTAGTGGCGAATGTCGCGGTCGTACTTTGCGTCGCCCGTGAGCACCGAGTTGTGCATGAGGGTGAGCTTCGTGGCTCCCGGGGGGACGATGTCGTCGTCGCTGACGGGAGGCTTGTCCACGGCTCCAGGGCTCACGTCCACCCGGTAGCAAGCGGCAGGGGCTTCCTGGCTCAGCGGCAGCTGCGGGAGGCCAAGCACCTGCAGGACATCGGAGGGAAGACGTTGGTGGGGAAGGAGGATGGAGAATATGGAGAAGGAGTGGAAGGGGAAGCCCGACCCGCCTGCCAGAGCTCCGGGAGCCAGGCCTCCCAGCCGGTGTAGTAGCGGTCCTCGTCCCGGTCATCGCCAACGCCGCGCTTCAGCAGGCGCTGGCCACCAAGCTCGCCCAGGCGGGTGTCGAAGCCGATGGCGGCCACGCAGAACTGCGAGTAAGTGGAATCGCCCAAGCCGAAGACCGCGAACTTGGTGCCAGAGAGCCAGCTCATCGGCAGGTCCTGCGATTGGAGCTTCATCCAAGTCTGCTTGCAATTCGCTGGGTACTCGCCCAGTCCGCAAGTGGACACAACCAGGATCACGATCTTTTGGTTGGGGAGCTCCTCGAAATCGAAGTCGTCCATGGAAGAGCAGGTGGCCTTGAGGCCACGGGCCATGATGTCCTGCATGAGGTTCTTAGCTTGCTCCTCCGAGTTACCCGTCTCGCTGCCGTAGAGAATGGTCACGGAGCTGCCGGCAGAGCTTGCGTCAGAGAGGCCTTCCACCAACTTGTGAAACTGACCTTCCAGGTCCTCCTTATTCAGCACCTGCAGGAGGTGATTCTTCTGCACCAGGTTGTCCTTCAGCTTGTCATCCAACTCCTGCGCATGCTTGGGATCCCGGCGCATCACAGCGGCAAAGCGGTTTTCCTTGGCAAGGAACTTGAAGAGGTCTCCCTTGATCTTCTTGCTATCCAGCTGGAAGGGGTTGTTGCCGTGCGCCATGGCCTCAGGGTTGTAGCGGTACAGCGGCCAGTAGCCGGAATCTAC